GGCGCTTATGTGGCTGGTTCAATCCTCGTGTGTTATGTGACTGTATTTTCATAGCCATTTAGTATAATGGGAGAGCCTGCTTGGTGGAACGTTTGTCATTCTTTTGGCATGGATGCTAAGTAGTTGGTGGGTACCTGTCTTTTGAAAATGTGCAAGTATATGCATTATTCTTTGTTCCTCCTTGGAGTGGTTGAGGGGGGTATGGTTAGGTATTGAAATGATGGGGGGATGAGTAACTTGGATGGGGTGATCGGGTGTTCCTCTCGTGAGGATCTGGTGCGGAGAGTCCACACCTTGGGGGTGAGAGATGGGGGTATCTCCCATGTAGTGGCTGTTGAGCTCTAAGTTCTGTGTTTATTCGGGCAGTTAGGTGTTGGCTCATTCCATGGCATTGTCGGGTGTCTGACTCATATACTTTCAATATCTTTTTTAAAAAATTTTATTTACTTTTAATTTCCCATGGGCTCATGCGTGTAGCCATTTTTTCGGGCACCCACAGGGGCAATGGAGCAGTGACCCTGATTGGGTCAGTGATCAGAGATTGTTAGCTGGGTTTCATATCAGGACTGGTTGTGTGGGTTTACCCTGAACGTCCCTTCGGTTATTTCTAGGGGATAGAAGTTTGTGCCATGCTCTTTATTGTGGTGTTGTTACTTATCTCAATGTTCCCACGCTGTATAATTTGACTCATGTGACGGACTGCTGGCACTCCGACTGAGTACATCAGCCAATCGATGCTCCTAGTGCTCGCTGAGGATTCCAAGCACTCCAACTGACACCATCAGCACTGCAGACCCCACTTCCAGTGATGCAGCTGTGCCGGGGTCTCGCCGTCTCTCACCCACCCTGGACCCAAGGCCAGGATCCAGCTTCCAGTGGGTTAACCTCTCTTTCCCCAGAGAGCAGGAACAGGAACAAGCTCTTAGCAGAGCTTAGTGATCATACCCTGGGGAGTATAGTGATTATAGCAATCCCCAGAGTCTAGTTTCTCCAATCCCCCAAACATGAGCCAAGGCTTCAAGAAAGGTACAAGATGAACTGATCTTTTAATGACCACACACTGGCTTTTATGCAGGTCCCCATGCAAGGGGACATCCCACAGGGTGGGACACAGGACAACCAATCATTTACAGGAAAACCGTAAAACACACCCAGCACCAACATACAATCCCTCCCTCTGCCTGTGATATAATTACTGAACACAATGGGTTAATGTAATTTATCACAGGCAGGAAAAATACACTTTTTATACATATACTGTAACTTTAAAAATATGCATCATATTTAAAAATATACATACATATTCAGAATCAGCATACTTTAAATATAAACATACCCAAAAATCATTTGAATCCGTTCAGCCATTCGGGAGATAGATATAAGTCAAGTTTGACTATTTCCCATGTTAAAGTCAGTTCAAACAGACAAACAACAACCATTCGAATTGTCGAACTGTCGAATGAACTGTACAATATAAATCCATTGGCCCAAATCAAATATTTAAAGGGCCAAACCTCCCAGGGACCATAATCACATGGCAAGAGGCTGGCAAGTAGTCCTCTCCAAGCACAAGTGGCGAGATTAATTTCGCCACAACTCATAACACTCTGGTTACTTAATCCACCAATCAGAGTACTCTGAGCCTAACTATAGTGTGTGAGGTGTTACATAGTTACATTATATCACATTGTATTATATTATATTGTATGTTATAGTGTGGGAGGTGTGACATAGTTACATTATATCACATTGTATTATATTATATTGTATGTTATAGTGTGGGAGGTGTGACATAGTTACAATATAATATAATACAATGTGATATAATATAATGTATGTTATAATGTGTGAGGTGTTACATAGTTACATTATATTATATCACATTGTATTATATTATATTGTATGTTATAGTGTGGGAGGTGTGACATAGTTACATTATATCACATTGTATTATATTATATTGTATGTTATAGCGTGGGAGGTGTGATACAGTTACATTATATTATATCACATTGTATTATATTATATTGTATGTTATAGTGTGGGAGGTGTGACATAGTTACATTATATTATATCACATTGTATTATATTATATTGTATGTTATAGTGTGGGAGGTGTGACATAGTTACATTATATTATATCACATTGTATTATATTATATTGTATGTTATAGTGTGGGAGGTGTGACATAGTTACATTATATTATATCACATTGTATTATATTATATTGTATGTTATAGTGTGGGAGGTGTGACATAGTTACATTATATTATATCACATTGTATTATATTATATTGTATGTTATAGTGTGGGAGGTGTGACATAGTTACATTATATTATATCACATTGTATTATATTATATTGTATGTTATAGTGTGGGATGTGTGACATAGTTACATTATATTATATCACATTGTATTATATTATATTGTATGTTATAGTGTGGGAGGTGTGACATAGTTACATTATATTATATCACATTGTATTATATTATATTGTATGTTATAGTGTGGGAGGTGTGACATAGTTACATTATATTATATCACATTGTATTATTTTATATTGTATGTTATAGTGTGGGAGGTGTGACATAGTTACATTATATCACATTGTATTATATTATATTGTATGTTATAGTGTGGGAGGTGTGACATAATTACATTATATCACATTGTATTATATTGTATGTTATAGTGTGGGAGGTGTGACATAGTTACATTATATTATATCACATTGTATTATATTATATTGTATGTTATAGTGTGGGAGGACATATAATACAATGTGATATAATGTAACTATGTCACACCTCCCACACTATAACATACAATATAATATAATACAATGTGATATAATGTAACTATGTCACACCTACACACTATAACATACAATATAATATAATACAATGTGATATAATATAATGTAACTATGTAACATCCCACACATTATAACCATATTATATTATATCATTAATTGTATTATATTATATTGTTTTATATCACATATTTCCTATTAATTATAAATACAATATAATATAATACAATGATATAATAAAATTCATTATATTGTATGTTATAGTGTGGGAGGTGTGACATAGTTACAATATAATATAATACAATGTGATATAATATAATGTATGTTATAATGTGTGAGGTGTTACATAGTTACATTATATTATATCACATTGTATTATATTATATTGTATGTTATAGTGTGGGAGGTGTGACAGTTACATTATATCACATTGTATTATATTATATTGTATGTTATAGTGTGGGAGGTGTGATATAGTTACATTATATTATATCACATTGTATTATATTATATTGTATGTTATAGTGTGGGAGGTGTGACATAGTTACATTATATTATATCACATTGTATTATATTATATTGTATGTTACAGTGTGGGAGGTGTGACATAGTTACATTATATTATTTCACATTGCATTATATTATATTGTATGTTATAGTGTGGGAGGTGTGACATAGTTACATTATATTATATCACATTGCATTATATTATATTGTATGTTATGGTGTGGGAGGTGTGACATAGTTACATTATATTATATCACATTGTATTATATTATATTGTATGTTATAGTGTGGGAGGTGTGACATAGTTACATTATATTATATCACATTGTATTATATTATATTGTATGTTATAGTGTGGGAGGTGTGACATAGTTACATTATATTATATCACATTGTATTATGTTATAGTGTGTGAGGTGTTACATAGTTACATTATATCACATTGTATTATATTATATTGCATGTTATAGTGTAGGAGGTGTGACATAGTTACATTATATTATATCACATTGTATTATATTATATTGTATGTTATAGTGTGGGAGGTGTGACATAGTTACATTATATTATATCACATTGTATTATATTATATTGTATGTTATAGTGTGGGAGTTGTGACATAGTTACATTATATCACATTGTATTATATTATATGGTATGTTATAGCGTGGGAGGTGTGACATATCTACATTATATTATATCACATTGTATTATATTATATTGTATGTTATAGTGTGGGAGGTGTGACATAGTTACATTATATTATATCACATTGTATTATATTATATTGTATGTTATAGTGTGGGAGGTGTGCCATAGTTACATTATATTATATCACATTGTATTATATTATATTGTATGTTATAGTGTGGGAGGTGTTACATAGTTACATTATATTATATCACATTGTATTATATTATATTGTATGTTATAGTGTGGGAGGTGTGACATAGTTACATTACATTATATCACATTGTATTATATTATATTGTATGTTATAGTGTGTGAGGTGTGACATAGTTACATTATATTATATCACATTGTATTATATTATATGGTATGTTATAGCGTGGGAGGTGTGACATAGTTACATTATATTATATCACATTGTATTATATTATATTGTATGTTATAGCGTGGGAGGTGTTACATAGTTACATTATATTACATCACATTGTATTATATTATATTGTATGTTATAGCGTGGGAGGTGTTACATAGTTACATTATATTATATCACATTTGTTACGGTACCTCCAGTAATAAAGGCACAAACCGCCGTTTAGTGAATGCTCCCCGTTCGCAATAATGTAGGCTGGTAGCGTGTATTGTAAAACCATGCGAACCGCCAGCTAGGGAACACTCCAAACTCCCGAACGGTACCTGTACGGCTCTTTCCCTTCGCGAGCTCCAAATCCACGAACTGCCAATATTAGCCGAACGCTAATACCTCCCAAGCGGCAAAGAATTCCAATAAGCAGTCTCTAAGCGCCGGTAATAAAATCCCCCCAATAACGAGACCAAGCTCCGATTTGAGGGTAAAACACGAACTGATTTATTGGGGGCTACCTGCCCGGTATTTATGCAGGTCTCCCACTTGGTGGACACTCCCCTAGGGGACCAAATGGGAGACTGAAATTACAGAAGGACATGGGGACATTTTGGACATACATCCCCACAATATTCCCAGCATGCATCACAGTTCCCTCCCCTCTGCTCGAGGGATAATTGGGAAGTAACTCAATTATCTCCCCGAGCAGAGGCAATCGCCATTTTAAACACAAGTCACAAAACACATGAAAATCCATAACTTCATAACTGCTGAACATATTACATTCGTATCGAATATCCCCAGATAGCCTGGATCTGAGGGCACATTATTGGAGAATAGCGCTCAGATCCCATTCGCACAGTTCAATCGCCATGGAGTCAAAATCTCTTTCAGTTCGTCGGTATGCGATTGACTCCATGGGACGGCTATCTGGGTTAAGTCCATTCGTGTGGTTGAATCTCCCGAACGGCTGGCATTCGTATACTTTTGTCGATTGAGAAGGAGAGGTCGACGGCTTCAGCGGTGTTCGGCTGAAAAAGTGTCCGTTTTCCGATCCATGAAATAATCGAACACCGCTGGTCGTTCGCATGGACAAAATGGCCGCCGCCTCGTGGTCGACATACGAACGACGACCACCCGGCATTCGGTTTTAATTGAGAAGTGTCTATGGTTAACCGCAACGTTCTAATTGGGATCAATAGGTTAACCAGCAGCACACTTCTCTTCTGGGTGGCCGTCCGTTCGGTAGTTTCGTTCAACAAAACCGACATTCCCTTGAATAAAGCATACGAATGGGGAAATTCATGTAACCGGCAAAACAGGCGAACCAAGCATTTGTAATCCAGACAGATGGGTCTGTCACAACATTGTATTATATTATATTGTATGTTATAGCGTGGGAGGTGTGACATAGTTACATTATAGTATATCACATTGTATTATATTATATTGTATGTTATAGTGTGGGAGGTGTGACATAGTTACATTATATTATATCACATTGTATTATATTATATTGTATGTTATAGTGTAGGAGGTGTGACATAGTTACATTATATTATATCACATTGTATTATATTATATTGTATGTTATAGTGTGGGAGGTGTGACATAGTGACATTATATTATATCACATTGTATTATATTATATTGTATGTTATAGTGTGGGAGGTGTGCCATAGTTACATTATATTATATCACATTGTATTATATTATATTGTATGTTATAGTGTGGGAGGTGTGACATAGTTACATTATATTATATCACATTGTATTATATTATATTGTATGTTATAGTGTGGGAGGTGTGACATAGTTACATTATATTATATCACATTGTATTATATTATATTGTATGTTATAGTGTGGGAGGTGTGCCATAGTTACATTATATTATATCACATTGTATTATATTATATTGTATGTTATAGTGTGGGAGGTGTGACATAGTTACATTATATTATATCACATTGTATTATATTATATTGTATGTTATAGTGTGGGAGGTGTGACATAGTTACATTATATCACATTGTATTATATTGTATGTTATAGCGTGGGAGGTGTGATACAGTTACATTATATTATATCACATTGTATTATATTATATTGTATGTTATAGTGTGGGAGGTGTGACATAGTTACATTATATTATATCACATTGTATTATATTATATTGTATGTTATAGTGTGGGAGGTGTGACATAGTTACATTATATCACATTGTATTATATTATATTGTATGTTATAGCGTGGGAGGTGTGATACAGTTACATTATATTATATCACATTGTATTATATTATATTGTATGTTATAGTGTGGGAGGTGTGACATAGTTACATTATATTATATCACATTGTATTATATTATATTGTATGTTATAGTGTGGGAGGTGTGACATAGTTACATTATATTATATCACATTGTATTATATTATATTGTATGTTATAGTGTGGGAGGTGTGACATAGTTACATTATATCACATTGTATTATATTATATTGTATGTTATAGTGTGGGAGGTGTGACATAATTACATTATATCACATTGTATTATATTGTATGTTATAGTGTGGGAGGTGTGACATAGTTACATTATATTATATCACATTGTATTATATTATATTGTATGTTATAGTGTGGGAGGTGTGACATAGTTACATTATATTATATCACATTGTATTATATTATATTGTATGTTATAGTGTGGGAGGTGTGACATAGTTACATTATATCACATTGTATTATATTATATTGTATGTTATAGTGTGGGAGGTGTGACATAGTTACATTATATCACATTGTATTATATTATATTGTATGTTATAGTGTGGGAGGTGTGACATAGTTACATTATATTATATCACATTGTATTATATTATATTGTATGTTACAGTGTGGGAGGTGTGACATAGTTACATTATATTATTTCACATTGCATTATATTATATTGTATGTTATAGTGTGGGAGGTGTGACATAGTTACATTATATTATATCACATTGCATTATATTATATTGTATGTTATGGTGTGGGAGGTGTGACATAGTTACATTATATTATATCACATTGTATTATATTATATTGTATGTTATAGTGTGGGAGGTGTGACATAGTTACATTATATTATATCACATTGCATTATATTATATTGTATGTTATAGTGTGGGAGGTGTGACATAGTTACATTATATTATATCACATTGCATTATATTACACATAATTATTGTGAGGTGTTATATCACATTGTATTATATTATATTGTATGTTATAGTGTAGGAGGTGTGACATAGTTACATTATATTATATCACATTGTATTATATTATATTGTATGTTATAGTGTGGGAGGTGTGACATAGTTACATTATATCACATTGTATTATATTATATTGTATGTTATAGCGTGGGAGGTGTGATACAGTTACATTATATTATATCACATTGTATTATATTATATTGTATGTTATAGTGTGGGAGGTGTGACATAGTTACATTATATTATATCACATTGTATTATATTATATTGTATGTTATAGTGTGGGAGGTGTGACATAGTTACATTATATTATATCACATTGTATTATTTTATATTGTATGTTATAGTGTGGGAGGTGTGACATAGTTACATTATATCACATTGTATTATATTATATTGTATGTTATAGTGTGGGAGGTGTGACATAATTACATTATATCACATTGTATTATATTGTATGTTATAGTGTGGGAGGTGTGACATAGTTACATTATATTATATCACATTGTATTATATTATATTGTATGTTATAGTGTGGGAGGTGTGACATAGTTACATTATATCACATTGTATTATATTATATTGTATGTTATAGTGTGGGAGGTGTGACATAGTTACATTATATCACATTGTATTATATTATATTGTATGTTATAGTGTGGGAGGTGTGACATAGTTACAATATAATATCACATTGTATTATATTATATTGTATGTTATAGTGTGGAGGTGTTACATAGTTACATTATATTATATCACATTGTATTATATTATATTGTATGTTATAGTGTGGGAGGTGTGACAGTTACATTATATCACATTGTATTATATTATATTGTATGTTATAGTGTGGGAGGTGTGATATAGTTACATTATATTATATCACATTGTATTATATTATATTGTATGTTATAGTGTGGGAGGTGTGACATAGTTACATTATATTATATCACATTGTATTATATTATATTGTATGTTACAGTGTGGGAGGTGTGACATAGTTACATTATATTATATCACATTGCATTATATTATATTGTATGTTATAGTGTGGGAGGTGTGACATAGTTACATTATATTATATCACATTGCATTATATTATATTGTATGTTATGGTGTGGGAGGTGTGACATAGTTACATTATATTATATCACATTGTATTATATTATATTGTATGTTATAGTGTGGGAGGTGTGACATAGTTACATTATATTATATCACATTGTATTATATTATATTGTATGTTATAGTGTGGGAGGTGTGACATAGTTACATTATATTATATCACATTGTATTATGTTATAGTGTGTGAGGTGTTACATAGTTACATTATATCACATTGTATTATATTATATTGCATGTTATAGTGTAGGAGGTGTGACATAGTTACATTATATTATATCACATTGTATTATATTATATTGTATGTTATAGTGTGGGAGGTGTGACATAGTTACATTATATTATATCACATTGTATTATATTATATTGTATGTTATAGTGTGGGAGGTGTGACATAGTTACATTATATCACATTGTATTATATTATATGGTATGTTATAGCGTGGGAGGTGTGACATATCTACATTATATTATATCACATTGTATTATATTATATTGTATGTTATAGTGTGGGAGGTGTGACATAGTTACATTATATTATATCACATTGTATTATATTATATTGTATGTTATAGTGTGGGAGGTGTGCCATAGTTACATTATATTATATCACATTGTATTATATTATATTGTATGTTATAGTGTGGGAGGTGTTACATAGTTACATTATATTATATCACATTGTATTATATTATATTGTATGTTATAGTGTGGGAGGTGTGACATAGTTACATTACATTATATCACATTGTATTATATTATATTGTATGTTATAGTGTGGGAGGTGTGACATAGTTACATTATATTATATCACATTGTATTATATTATATGGTATGTTATAGCGTGGGAGGTGTGACATAGTTACATTATATTATATCACATTGTATTATATTATATTGTATGTTATAGCGTGGGAGGTGTTACATAGTTACATTATATTATATCACATTGTATTATATTATATTGTATGTTATAGTGTGGGAGGTGTGACATAGTTACATTATATTATATCACATTGTATTATATTATATTGTATGTTATAGTGTGGGAGGTGTGACATAGTTACATTATATTATATCACATTGTATTATATTATATTGTATGTTATAGTGTGGGAGGTGTGACATAGTTACATTATATTATATCACATTGTATTATATTATATTGTATGTTATAGTGTGGGAGGTGTGACATAGTTACATTATATCACATTGCATTATATTATATTGTATGTTATAGTGTGGGAGGTGTGACATAGTTACATTATATTATATCACATTGTATTATATTATATTGTATGTTATGGTGTGGGATGTGTGACATAGTTACATTATATTATATCACATTGTATTATATTATATTGTATGTTATAGTGTGGGAGGTGTGACATAGTTACATTATATTATATCACATTGTATTATATTATATGGTATGTTATAGTGTGGGAGGTGTGACATAGTTACATTATATTATATCACATTGTATTATTTATATTGTATGTTATAGTGTGGGAGGTGTGACATAGTTACATTATATCACATTGTATTATATTATATGTATGTTATAGTGTGGGAGGTGTGACATAGTTACATTATATTATATCACATTGTATTATATTATATTGTATGTTATAGTGTGGGAGGTGTGACATAGTTACATTATATTATATCACATTGTATTATATTATATTGTATGTTATAGTGTGGGAGGTGTGACATAGTTACATTATATTATATCACATTGTATTATATTATATGTATGTTATAGTGTGGGAGGTGTTACATAGTTACATTATATCACATTGTATTATATTATATTGTATGTTATAGTGTGGGAGGTGTGACAT